GAAGATCATCTTTTTAGCACAATTAACTTTACAATAAAGATCTTATAAATCTATACCCAATGATTAAATTGTTGCTGTTAAGGATATGTGATTTTCTGGGACTTCAGTGTGATCCTTTTGTTCATAAAACATTTCCATGGGAAAAAAATTTTAAGGGAGTAATTTTGTTCTTTATTATTAATTTTACCTATTATTTCTGAATTAATATTTCTATTTTATTCAAATTTTTAACCAGTTTTTATTCTGTTTTTATATGCAAAGTTTACACAGGATTTAGAATAAGTATGAAATAACTATTTGATCATTTATCAGATAGTCTGTTAGGGAAGAAAATTGTCATAGATGAATCTAATATAATTTAATCTTTTTTCAGATAAAAGGCAATGGATGGAAGATGAGAGTGAAAATGATAGCATCAGGATGATTGAAAAGTCTCTCATCAGTTAAAGCAACTAGAGCACTTGCAAAACTTGTCAGAATTAACACTTTCAGAACTCTGAAAATTGACCAATACTTCAAATAAGCCAAGGTAAATTTATTCAGGAAAATGGCTAAATTGCAGTAAGAAGAGTGAACCTTGCAGCATTTTAACTAGACATATTTTCCCATTCCCAACTCACCGACTCTGCAGTAGCTTTGACAGCTAACATCCTGTAAAAATGTTTAAAAGCAGCAGCCTAGCAGGAAATGGAGGGTGCAAAATGGGGTTGGATCTTCTTCAAAGCCCCATTCCCTTTACCAGAGATGCCATCATTATTTTGACCTATCTGTTGGTTTCCCGACAAACTACTTGCAGGGCTTCCTTATTTAACCTAACTCAGAACTCACCCACGGAGAACAGTCTTTTCCTCAGGGACATTTGTTAGAAACAATCAGAACAACTGCTTAACATCACGGTCGCCTGAGGCAATGGATAGAAGTTGGCGAAAATAATCAGCTATTCAAAAAGCTTACAAAGAAAAAGTTCAAGAAAATGAGATGCCCATAGGAATTTATAAAAACTCTAACATATCCCTGAGGATCTAGAAAGCCATACATACATACAGGACTGTACTTATGATCAGAAAAAAAAACAAAACAAACAAACGAACAAACAAAAAACCCTAAGAAGGCCTTGAACTCTCGCCTCTGGCTGACCTTGGTGGCTGTGTGTAAGCAGAAAGTAAGGGCAAGGCAGAGTTGCCTGGTGCCTGGCTAAGTGTCAAAGACATGCCCACCATGAACACGGAGTCTCTCAGCAATGACTAAGGGAGATGTTGGTTCCCGACATCCAAGGAAATCTCTGTCCACTCATCAGCTGACCAATCAGCTATCAGAGCAAAGACCTCATTGATTATACAAGACAAAGAATACATACTTTTTAGAATTATTTCAGAAAAATTACTGAACAACAATAACAAACAACAACAACAAACCCCGGGTAAGAGAGAAAATCTGATTTTCAGGGTTGCTGGATTGTATTATTCAAAATTTCCAGTTTCTAACAAAAATGAATAAATAAATGCATGCAGATAAATAAGAAAATATAGCACATACACATTAGGAAAAGGAAGTCAGCAGAAATTATTCCTGGGGAAGTCTAGATGTTGCACTTAATAAATAAAGTCTTTAAATCAGTTCAAATATGTTCAAAGGATTACTGAAAACTATATCTAAAAATTAAAGGAAATTATGAGAGCAATTTCTCATCAAACAGAAGATATCAAAATGTAAGTGTAAACTTTAATAAACATGGGTTAGGCAATCCTTTTTTAGATATGATCCCAAAAACTCAGGTAACCAAAACACATTCATAAATTTAACATCATCATAATGAAAAGGTTTGTGGTTTCAAGAACACTATCAATAACTGAAATGGCAAAAGTACCTAGAATATGTAAAGAGCCATTACAACCCAATAATAAAAAAGAATCCAATTAAAAATGGGCAAAGGATTTGAATAGGCATTTCTCCAAAGATTATTACACAAGTAACTAGTAAGGACGTAAAATCATCTTCAGTATCATTAGGCATTAGGGAAATGAAAATCAAAAGTACAATGAGAGTTCACTTCATATCCTTATGATGGCTAAATTTAAAAGATGGACAACAGCAAGTGCTAGCAAGAATGTGAAGAGATTTGAACCCTCATACATTGCTAATTGGAAATGTAAAATGGTGCAGCCGCTTCGGAAAGCAGTTTGGCAGTTCCTCAAAACAAGAAACAGAGTTATCATATGATTCAGCAATTCCATTCCCAGTTGTGTACCCAAAAGAATTGAAATCATATGTCACATAAGAATTTGTCCGTAAATATTCCTAGCAGCATAATTCATGATAGTCAAAACTGGAAACAACCCAAATGTTCCCCAACTGATGAATACATTTAAAAATATAATGTATTCATCCGGGCACGATGGCTCACTCCTGTAATCCCAGCACTTTGGGAGGCCGAGGCGGGTGGATCATGAGATCAGGAGATCGAGACCATCCTGGCTAACACGGTGAAACCCCGTCTCTACTAAAAATACAAAAAATTAGCCAGGTGCAGTGGCAGGCACCTATAGTCCCAGCTACTTGGGAGACTGAGGCAGGAGAATGGTGTAAACCCAGGAGGCAGAGCTTGCAGTGAGCTGAGATTACACCACTGCACTCCAGCCTGGGTGACAGAGCGAGAGTCCGTCTCAAAAAAAAAAAAAAGTACATATACACACACATATATACTATATACATATATGTACACATGTACATATATTAAAAGTATATATACTATATACATATATACACACATATATACACATACATACATATATACACATATATATACAAAATATATATATAATGTATACATACAATGCAATATTGTTCAGCCATAAAAACAAATCAAAACTGGGTGCAGTGGCTCATGCCTGTAATCTCAGCACTTGGAGAAACTGCGATGGGAATATTGTTTGAGCCCAAGAGTTTGAGACCAGCCTGGACAACATAATGAGATTCAATCTCTACAAATTCGTTTTTAAAGGCTAGCTGGGTGTGATGGTACACATAGTCCCAGCTACTCAGGAGACTGAAGCAGGAGGATCACTTGAACCTAGGAGGTTAAGGCTGCAGTGAGTCATGATCATGCCACTGCACTCCAGTCTGGGTGATAGAGCAAGATCCTCTTTCAATTTTTTAATAATCAAATTCTGATTCACATTATAGTGGAGGCAAACCTTGAAAATATGATGCTACATGAAAGCAGTGAGCCATAAAAGACCACATATTGCATTATTTTAATCATATAAAATGTCCAAAATAGGCAAATTTATAGAGACAGAAAGTAGATTAGCAGTTTCCAGAGGATGAGGAAAGGGCAATTTGGGGAGCTGCTAATGGGATAATGAAAATGTTTTAGAAATAGAAAGTGATGATTATAGCACAGCTCTGTGAATATACTCCCCCAAAAATCTACTTAATTACTAAAGAGGTGAATTTTTTGGTATGTGAATTATATGACCATTTTTAAAAAGAGAAAAAATAAGGCAAGAGGAAGGTAAGATTATTTCCAGCTCATGATGTTCAGAACACCCCATCCCAACAACATTTTACAATATACAGATGATTAGGCATTCAGCAATACAGGAGAAGGGAGTTGGAGGTGTGAGTTCTGCTCTGTGCAATCGTTAAGAGACAGGCTCCCTTCATGATATGGTCCAGCCACCTGCAGCATGAGATTTCAAAGATGCCGTATAGTTATCTACTGATAGACAGGAGAGGAACCTTGTGTAAAATTATGAAAGAGCTAACGCGATGAACCTCACTGCCAACATGCCATTAGCTAGAATTTAGTCATAAGGTCCCACCCAATTCCAAGGCAGGATGGAAGATGTTCATTTAGCTCAATACTCAGGAACAATACTTAGTATTATCTCTGTCACAAAAGGAAAGAGGATACATTCCCAACCTAAGTAACTGAGATTCAGAATTAACCCTGAAATAAGCAGCTACAAACTATAGAGCACTAAAATCAAAATAACCATAGAAGAAAAGAACAATATACAAAATTTCATATAATCTGGTGTCTAATTAATTTGGAAAGTAACTTTGCTGTGATCTTTCAAACCACCTTATGCAAAGTATTCAGAAACTTCAGTAAATAGCATCACCAGTCTTGGCTTGACAACTAAACTTACTAAGGTATTTGTCGGTTCGACTTACAAAGCATTAAACTATGGAGGTTGAAAAAAAGTTGCTTAAAAAAAAAACAGAATGCAGCTTAATTATTATTTTCCTGAGTTCAGAGTAAGCATAGTTACATTAATGCCATAATGTAGTTTAAAATATTGTAAATAAAAAGCACCTGTTTTCAGGTATAAGCGAAACTCTTCAATAGAGAAATATGGGATATTAGTACATTAAAATCAACCCCTTTTTGAACCCATTCATAATTTATAGCTACCTACATAGTTCTTCCAGCCATACCATGTCTATCTATATCATTAAATATCCTCTCTGTGTTTCAGGTATTTTAAATTGAAGCACTACTTGCAGGGTTCTTAATAAAAACAAAAAAATTAAGAGGGTAAATAAATTCAGTATCCTAGCCAAAAACCAGAGTATCTGTTTCAGGAACACAGGACAGTATACTTTCCATTTCATTTTACACACACACACACACACACACACACACACACACACACACACACACACACACACACACGATGTCTCTCTTTTACATAAGAATGAACCTGGCTGCCTCAAGATAGGTTGTTTTGGTATCACGGAATGGCCTCTAGGGATCAAGTTGTTTCCCTTAAAAACTTGAAAAGGGAAATTCAGGCTCTCTTATCCGGCTTGCTTCAGACTTCAGACTTCAGGAGCTTGTGCCTCTGAATCTGTGTCGCCCTGCAATTTGTGTCTCTGAAACAATCCTGTCTCACAGACTCCCACTGCATTAGGATTGGTCAGAAGGAAGCAGAGGAGGAGCCACTGTGAACATGTTTTTTTTTTTCTCTCCACACATCATAAAAATCAGCAGCTGGCACCTACAGCCCCTCACACTCAAAGCAATGCTCAGGCTGGAAACAGAAGCTTCCGAGAGGCAGCCGATGTGAGCATGTGCGCACAGATTCGTCTCCCAATGGCATGGCAGCTCTAGGAAAATTGTTTTGAACAGACTTGAATGTATAAGATTAAAGTTAAAGCAGAAGTGAGAACAAAAAAGCAAAGAGCAGACTCTTTCAGCTGAGAATGAATACTTTGAAGCCCAAGATTTTAAAGTGATAATGATCAGAGTCGTACCTAAAAGAGACTAAAAACTCCATGTCACGCTCTGGACTTGTGACATTTACTCACAGCAGGCATGGCAATTTTAACCTCACAACTTTCAGACAGATAAAGACTTGGAGGAAATAACTGAGACGACTCCCTGACCCAGGAGGCTAAATCAATTCAGGGGACACTGGAATTCTCCTGCCAGCATGGTGAACTCCACCCACCGTGGGATGCACGCTTCTCTGCACCTCTGGAACCGCAGCAGCCACAGACTGCACAGCAATGCCAGTGAGTCCCTTGGAAAAGGCTACTCTGATGGAGGGTGCTACGAGCAACTTTTTGTCTCTCCTGAGGTGTTTGTGACACTGGGTGTCATCAGCTTGTTGGAGAATATCTTAGTGATTGTGGCAATAGCCAAGAACAAGAATCTGCATTCACCCATGTACTTTTTCATCTGCAGCCTGGCTGTGGCTGATATGCTGGTGAGCGTTTCAAATGGATCAGAAACCATTGTCATCACCCTATTAAACAGTACAGATACGGACACACAGAGTTTCACAGTGAACATTGATAATGTCATTGATTCAGTGATCTGTAGCTCCTTGCTTGCATCCATTTGCAGCCTGCTTTCAATTGCAGTGGACAGGTACTTTACTATCTTCTATGCTCTTCAGTACCATAACATTATGACAGTTAAGCGGGTTGGGATCATCATAAGTTGTATCTGGGCAGCTTGCACGGTTTCAGGCATTTTGTTCATCATTTACTCAGATAGTAGTGCTGTCATCATCTGCCTCATCACCATGTTCTTCACCATGTTGGCTCTCATGGCTTCTCTCTATGTCCACATGTTCCTGATGGCCAGGCTTCACATTAAGAGGATTGCTGTCCTCCCCGGCACTGGTGCCATCCGCCAAGGCGCCAATATGAAGGGAGCGATTACTTTGACCATCCTGATTGGCGTCTTTGTTGTCTGCTGGGCCCCATTCTTCCTCCACTTAATATTCTACATCTCTTGTCCTCAGAATCCATATTGTGTGTGCTTCATGTCTCACTTTAACTTATATCTCATACTGATCATGTGTAATTCAGTCATCGATCCTCTGATTTATGCACTCCGGAGTCAAGAACTGAGGAAAACCTTCAAAGAGATCATCTGTTGCTATCCCCTGGGCGGCCTATGTGACTTGTCTAGCAGATATTAAACGGGGACAGAGCACACAATATAGGAACATGCATAAGAGACTGTTTCACTCTTACCCTACCTGAATATTGTACTTCTGCAACAGCTTTCTCTTCTGTGTAGGGTACTGGTTGAGAATATCCATTGTGTAAATTTAAGCTTATGATTTTTAATGAGAAAAAATGCCCAGTCTCTGTATTATTTCCAATGTCATGCTACTTTTTTGGCCATAAAATATGAATCTATGTTATAGGTTGTAGACATTATGGATTTACAAAAAGAAAAGTCCTCATTAAAAGCTTAACAATGTCTCTTTCGTGTTATTCATAAGCATTGGACACTTTGTGTGCTTTAGTAACATAGAAATCAGAGCCTCATTAAATATATGCTAATAAATTTGTTATTATATTACACTATCCACCATTGAAATGTAGAGAGTTCATTCTAGCAGTTAAGTGAAAATATTTAAAGAACAGATGCATAATCATTTCAAAAAATATCATCACTGAAATTTCAAGTAATTTAATTAAAGCTTTGTTCATCCTCCCTGTGCAGTAGTAGAAATGAAGCTCCTCTAGAGAGAAAAACAGGTGCTGAGAAGAGAGAGATGCTGAATCAGAGAACTATGTGTGCTTCCCAGACACAGAAAGATTCATCTCCCTTAGCAAACAGCCTGATATTTCACACGGGCAATTCAGTTTGGGGTGGGTGGGAAAAGGCAGCTATGGAGATGAAAGTGTCCTGGAAAACCTAAGTTGCCAAGTCAAGAGAAATTTCCTGTTACCAAATTATTCCTAAACAACATTAATAAAACAGAGAATGGGGTATTTATGCCCCCTTTAACGAAGGATTCAGGGTCTGCTGAAGTGTCCAGAAAAGGTAGTATTGTACTGAGAGATTTAGCTTCCTGTTTCTAGAGAAGTACAGGACTGACATCGAATTCTTTCTCATTTCACATGAAAATGACTTACTGTTTACTTATTGCTTATTTTTTGAGCTGGGGTACAAATGTTGATTATCAAGGATTTTAAACTTCAAAACCAAATTCATAGACAAGTGTTTTCCGGCAATATTTGTAAATGTCTAAAATAAGAGTACCTGGGATGCTGATACATTTTAATCAGAAAGGGAGGCACCTACCAAACCCCAGAGGATGTCATACAATAAACTCGCCTTCCACAGCCACTTCTTAAAGAGTAAATATGTTTTGCTCCAAAATAATCCTACAGATTTGGCCACTGAGCAAAAAAATGTGTACTGTACTTTCTAATCTGTGGGTAATTTAAAATAAAGAAAAAGAATATATTAGGTTGAGGATTACCAGTAAACTATCTTGCAATTTACAGGGTCTTCAAACACTCACGGGCAGAGGTCATATGCAAAGGCACTCCTTAACTCAAATCTAAATGTTTTTTGCTGATTATAAGACCCAAGAAACACTTTCAACATTCATCTGAAAACACTACCTTAAAGGATAATAGTGAAGTTAAAGTTTATTCATAAGAAGAGGTACTAAAGCTGAAATTTTAATTCCACTGCAATTCCTCTATTTTGAAGCAAAAGTGAATGTGAGGATTTAAATATACACTAACAATCATAGTCTACAGCAGTAGAGGGACACACTTATGTTTTTGTCATTGCTACGTTTCCTGTCCATTCTTTCATTTAATGAATCTGAAAAATTCCAGGGACTACAGATATGAGAGAGAGAGCTATGAGCAAGCCCCATCTTGTGTGGTGGCTGTCCTTCTCAGTTTATCCTATTTCTCCTCCAAGTGTCATCTCAGATGCCCAGAAGGAAATCCTGCTTCCTCCTTCTTCAGGTTCATACCTTCTCCTGGAGCAGTTTACAGTGTTAGGGTGTGTATAAGTCACGAATGAGCCATATAAGACCACCCTCCCCTATGTGCCCATGGTACCATATTGGACTTTAGCTCCTTTAAGTGCAGAGACTGTCTCTTACTCATTTTTTCTATTCTCCAAATCTTCCTCTATTCCAGTTACTTCCTTTTGTTCAAGTAAAATCAAGATTCCCTCAGAGGCCAGGCCTTACCCAAGCCACCTCTAAGCTCCATTCCACATCCGGTGAGATTTGGAGCCATGCCAGCTCTAGTTGGATTGTTATTGGATCAACTGGGGAAGTGCTATGGTTTAAAATTGCAGGCTTAAGCAAGTGTATTTAGTGTGAATACAGGAGGCAGTAGAGAGTGAGAGTGGGGCTGGAGATCTGGAGGAAACAAGCTTGAAGTACACTAAATGAAGATACTGTAGTGACCACGGCTGCTAGAGCAGATGCAGAGAAAGTGGTTATTCCAAGTAGGTAACTTTAAATATATTAGGAGCAAAGAACTGAAATTCACAGAATGGCATGAGAACATTCCCCACAAGGAAAGGGGATTGTATGTCTGCCCCATTCACCTTAACATCTAATAACAGCATGTCATCACGACTTCAGACCTGATACACAATATTCAGATTCCTGTTTGGCTCCCCAGTTCCATATTGCAGTCTCACTTTCCTTGCTGTTTTATTTTTGTGTATTCTGCCTCTTCTGTTAGCATGTAAGCCCCTTAAAGATAAGCCTTATGCTCATATTTTTATTGCCACAGGGAATAACATATTTAACATATTAGAGAGACTAAAAAAATCTAGAGAGATAAAATATTCTTGACTTCTGAAAGTGGTTTCCCATTTAGTCTCACCTTGAGCATTCTTGATGCTGCATCTATTTCAGTGGCAGCAATGATGACAGATTGGGGCAGAACTTTCTTCTGGAGCAGCTGCCTAGCCATCATTGTCTCGCCCTACCTTGATTGTCTTCAGGGAAGGACAATAGAAGCCATGGTGGTCACCAGGGAAGCAAGTGGGTCAGGCATTGGTTGCACACAGAAATGTGATAAAGATAACTTCTAGCCACGTTTCTGAAAATCCATGATTAATAAATAGAGAGATGTGGAATCATAGCATGAATGAAGTAATAGGAATGTCTGTCTCATCAGATTATCTTGGTTTTACTACAGACGGTAGAAGTAATTAGTCATTGTTTAAGCCATATCAAGACTGATTTGTCCAGTTATGATCTTAAGAATTAGAGTTAGCTGTAGCTAAGGACACTAGCATATCTAAAACCTAGCACAAATGAGAATTATTCTTCCACGTGCAGTGTCCACTAGGGAGAAATACATATGAATTATGCTAAATGGAAAGCATGGTACCATCCTATGTCTGGGACATCCCATCCCCACCCCAGCGAAGTACCTCCAAGGAAACTGACCTGTAGCACACGGCTTAGCCTATAGGCCCCAAAGTGCCCCTCCTTCCCTCCTACTAAATCCACAAATTGACATCATGTCACCTTTCAACCAACAAAAGACTACCTGAACATCATGGTTAAGAAGAAAACAGAATGAAATGCAAGACAGAGAGAGAGAAAGAACGCTTAACCAGGTTATGGATCAGCTTTCCACTTCAGCCTGATGAAAAAAATAAACAAATAAATAATGCCATAAAACACGCACCCATGAGCAGGGGCTTTAAATATATTAGCCCAACCCTGTTGGTGGCTCAGGAATTTCTACATGATGTGGCTTAGGGTGCAGTGTGGTTCAGAGGAGTTACGTTGGACTGTCTTGAAGGTTTTTGCACAGCATTTGCCTTCTTTGATTCCAGTTGCATAGGTTCTTGAAATGTGTTAGGAGGGATATTTGAAGATTATACTTTGGTGAGATTAATAAATTTGGGCACCATGGGTGTTCTAGAATCTGACTTCATCAGACAAGTGCTTCTTCTTTATGGTTAGGAAAAGGGAGTGGAAGGAGACTGGAACATGGCAAAGGGTATTGTCCTCCATCTTTAAAAAAAAATCATTCCATTAATCAGATGTTATTCCTACAGTTTTTTTTTTAAAGTGTAGGCTATTTTGTTCTTTACTATTTCTATTGCTTATCTAGAAGCCAATAGTGTTATACATGATATGTTTTCAATGAATGCTTCTTACCTGACTTCTTGTTTTATATTTCTTTTGTGTTTTTTTCACTCAATTTTTCTTAAATTGCTTTGTACTGTTGTGATACACTAATGCAAGGAGAAAGAAAAAGGGGGAAAAATCCAAATGTTCATATTAATTTGGTTCAATGGACCAATGCTTTAAATGAATAAAAATGTGAACACATTGCATTTGCATTTGGCCTAAGCTGCTTTGCTTCACAAAATCCTACTGCAAAGAAAGCACTTTTAGTAGAAATAAAAAGATAGTAGAACTCTACAGTTACTGCAAGGACACTGCAGCATAGTGATCAAGGCTCCAGAAATGTATTTATATCACATATCCATATTATGGCTTAACCAAAGGAATAAAGGAAACTAGATAGCCTACATTAGTCAACTTGAAGTACAAACAGATGTTCTCTTGGAATATTCTTAAAGAATGGAAATAAATGTTGCCTGCAAAAAAAGAATATAATTATAGCATTGGAGCGGCCTTTGACAAATGGCTATAAATTTTATGGTATCAAATTTACATTTTTAAAAGCAAATTAATTTTCACAATTGTAGAGAAGGTAGTAAAGTAGGTGATTTTATATCCTTTTATGTTGAAATATAAATTGATACAATTGCATTAGAGGACATTATGCAATGTGTATCCCAAACCTTAAAAACACCCATTCCTTATTATTTCATTATGATTAATTTTAGAAGTATGATTGTTAGGTTAGGAAGCCACCCCTAATGGAAGGTTCACATCACCTCCTAAGTGTAACTGTCTGAAGATCTTTGATGTGACATCTGGTGTACCTACCCTCAAAAATTCCACAGTTTATTAGTGATAAAATGTTACATCATTATTCTGTTGTGAAAATATTGGTAGATGAGAATAAACTTTCTGATAAAACTTTGTAATATCAGACACTTTTTGTTCTATTGTGTTTGGCATTTAACCTTTTGAAGAAAGTGTGTTCATTTGCGGTTCACAGCAAGATTAACCAGAAAGTACAGAAATTTCGCATGTATCCCCTTTCCCACACATGAAAAGCCTC